CCTTTCGGAGGGAAACATCATTGCAGACTCTGATATTGCCCGTACAGGCCCTAGACCCAGACTGGTTGGACTGATATCCGCCTAGACCTAGCCTATAACTACTGGGCCTCTAAAAATGCCACTTTTGTCTTCTTCTGCTCGGCCTCCGGTACCTGCACATCTACCCCTTCCAGGTGCGGTACCAGCCTACCCGCTACTTGAGTGTTTTTCCCCGCTGCAACCCCTCAATGCCACGGCCACAGGTAAGTACCGGCCCTGAGGGCCCAACGAACGAGCAAGTGCCCTGACGGGCCACACACATACTCATGCCAACCAGCACTCAGACAGGCACGGTCACACACACACCCAGGCCGACCAACACTTAGACAGGCACGGTCACACACACACTCAAGCCATCCAGCATTCAGACAGACATGCAGTCCAGCAAATCTGCACACACAGACTTAGTAGCAAGCGGGAAACTCAGCAGGGCATTCAATCTATGGGCAGAACTCAGAAATCAGCTGCGTGTTTCAGTCCATGTATGGACGGGTCATCACACTACTCCCCCCTCAAGAGTGAGGTCCCTTCGAGCGAGTAACTCACTTTGAGTCCTCGACAAACGCATCGTAAGCGAGCAAGGCAAAGAGATTCCTAGTGTACTCTGTTGCAGTGAGCTTTGCAGAGATCTTAGGTACAACGTTAGTGGCGATTTGTCGCTCATATGCTTTGACAACACGCGGTGCACTGCGCAGCAGTTCCTGTTTGGAAATCCAGTACAGATCGTCTAGTGGGTGATACATGAAGTGAACCTGGTACTGTCTGTTGCGTGCCTTCCCTACGTGCTGTTTGATCCTGTCAATCTCGTGCCCGCCTTTGATCGCGCGAGGGATCATACCTTCGCCATAATCGAATGTCTTAGCATGTGGAACACGGGGTATGTGCGCAGATGGGCTGGCACATCAACGACGTATGAAGGGCCAAAGTGATCTTCACCAATCACATCCAACACTTCCCAGGGCCCATAATAGAGAGGAAGGAGTTTGCGTGAGACTCCCTCTTCTTCTGAGAATTCAGACATCTTGACCCAGACATAGCTTCCTACCTCAATATCCGACGGTCGGCGCTTCTTGTTCGCATGATGGATCATGGCGTGATGTCGCTTGGTCATAGCTGCAATGGCAACTTTGAGCAAGCGACCGTACTTGGCCTTGAAGCCAGGCCTGCCGGGTGTTAAACCAGCTGGCTGCTCAGGGAATAGGTAAGAGAGCGGATTCCGGATCTGCCAACCGTAATGCAGCCTGTTGGGTGTCATGCCGGTGGCGGAGTGGACGGAGTTGTTGTATAACCCGTTAACGGGATACAGCTTTTCATCCCATGTTTCCTAATCCGGGGTAATCAAAGCGCGAAGAAGTTGAAACACAGTCTGGTTTATCTCCTCAGCCAAACTGTTGGCTTCAGGGTGTCGGCCAGATGTCATACCCAGTTTGATCCCCAGTTGAGACGTGAAGTCCTTCCAGTCAGTACTAATGAAGCGCGGATCCCGATCACTCACAAGAGTCTTCGGGGTTCCGAACTGGAGAATGTACTTATGTTGGAACTCACAGATCACTAGTTCTGTTGGAGCGTGAGGTGGCAAAGGAATTAGATTAAGGAACTTAGAGAATCGGTCAACAATCACCATGACTTGTGAGTAACCGTTCGCACTTACCTTTCCCAAGTCAGTGAACTCGATGGAGACGGACTCCTCGGGACCATCGGGAATGGGTAGGGATGTGAGTAGCCCCATCGACTTTTGTCTGCATGGTTTGATTCGTTGACAGACTTGACATTCAGCCACAAAGTTTTCAGCAGTCCCTTTCATGCTAGGCCAATCAAACTATCTCACAAATTTGCGTACGTTTTTGCCATGCCGAAGTGTCCGCTCCGGCCATGAGCCACATCCAAAACTGCGTGCGCAGAGGCTCATGGTTGGGCACACACAAACGGTCGTGGTTCCCGTAGCGACGAAAAATCAGTCCTCCATACTGGTGAAAATCAGGCTGACTACTAGGATCAGCCCGTAGCTGCTCAAGGATGAAACTAAGCTCTGGATCCTTGGTTGTCTGCTCTACGAGCTCCTCCTCCTTTTTCAGTTCCTTCCGGAGGTCGTAGGTTTTCACAAGGCAAGTCATGTACTCAGGGTGGCGAGACAATGCGTCAGCGACTTGATTATAACAACCCTTTTTGTGTCTTAATTCAAAATCGAAGATGTCAATCTCATGGAACCAGCGAAGCAAGGTAGGGGACAGGGTAGTTTGTTGTTTGATCCACTTCAAAGTCTCATGATCTGAGAATACTTTGAAGTGGCGTCCCAAAAGATAGTGTTTCCAGTGGTCCAACGCCGTACGCAAAGCATAGAGCACGCGCACGTAGGTGGAAGTGGCTACCTTTACGTTGGGCATGCGTTTGTCGTAGTAGTCGAGTGGCCGCAAGCCATCACCGCCGTCTTGCTGCAGCACTGCGCCGATTTCGTACTGGCTCGCATCCGTAGTGACTACGAACGTCGGTTTGGGATCTGCAATGCGGAGTACTGGGCGACTTACCAAGGCTTCCTTTAAAGCTTGGAAGGCATTTGTGCACGCGGCGTCCCAAGAATAGGGAACATTTTTACTGGTCAACTGCGACAATGGATGAGCAACAATAGAGAAGCGGGGCACAAACTTCCGATAGTATGACGCGAGGCCAAGAAAAGAACGCAGTTCGCGAATGTTCGCGGGTTGAGGCCAATCGCGTATGACCTCAACCTTGGTTGCCTCAGGCTCCAGGCCTGCAGCAGACAACCGATGACCAAGATAAATGACACTATCCTTCCCAAACTCAGATTTCTATAAGTTCAAATGGAGTTGCGTCTTCTTGAGGATGGTCAGTACTTCCTCAAGGTGCTTGAGGTGTTCCTCCATGGACTTACTGAAGATTAGAATGTCATCGAGGTAGACCACTACGAACCGACCAATCTGTTCGCGGAGGACTTTGTCCATGAGGCTTTGGAAGGTGGACGGTGCGTTCGTGAGACCGAAGGGCATTACGGTAAACTCGTAACGCCCATCGCATATTTTGAACGCAGTCTTGTGCTGGTCCGCAGGATCGACTTCAATCTAGTGGTAGCCAGACTTGAGATCGATCTTGGAGAAGACCTTGCACCCACCTGCGGCATCAAGCAAGTCATCTATACGAGGCCATGGATAGGCCTTCTTTCTTGTGATGCGGTTTAGACCGCGATAGTCAATACACATGCGGAGTTTGCCTCCTTTCTTTGGGACAAACAACACAGGAGCACCAAATTCATATTCGCTAGGCTTGATCCACCCCTTGTCAATCATCTCATCAATCTGCCGCCGGAGTTCCTCCAACTCGCCGGGTCCCATTCGGTATACGCAGCCCTTTGGAGGAACAACACCTTCAACGAACTCGATGGTGTGTCGGACCGGTCCCATGGGGACTCCACGTGGCTCGGCCAGAACTTCCGGAAACTGATCGAGGAGGTTTTGGATGTCTGGTGGGACAGGTGGGGGTGGGGGATCAGCAAAGGGATCACCTACCGCAGGTCGCGTATAGAGACGACCGAATCTGAAGTAGGATCATTTGGACCATTAGAGGGTAGAGAGATAGAGGTGCTAGAAGTAGAAGTACTAGAAGTAGGATCACTAATCGAAGTAGTAGTGGTAGTAACCGCAAAAGTAGATGGCACATGGGTAGGACGAACAAAGGCAACATACAACTGCTCTTCCTCCTTGTGCTTGCGCCATTTCTTGCAGAACTCCGTGCTTCTCATCCAAGAGGACAGGAAGCTCGTTCCCTCTAGCATCTTTGATCATGAAAAGTGACTCCTTCCACTTGGTCCATTCGCATTGGGACTGCAGCCAGGCCAAGCCAAGGACAACGTCGAAGGGGCACTTGTCAAGAACATAAAAGTTCAATGCGTGTGTGACAGTTTTGTCCTTATCAATGGTCACAAG